AATATTTAGTGAACAACAAGGATAAATTATGCATTATGCGCATCATGCATGAAACGGAACGCACTCTTATACATACAATTGTGTAAAATATAAATGCATTTATTGAAATAAATCGCAGATTTTCGAGTGGCTGCTTATTGTTCTGTAGGTTTAGATTTTTCAGCCAAGACTGCAGTTCTCGTGGCCTTTTCGTTGGCAATCTGAATGAAAAGACAAACTTTGTAATAGTTATTTTTGTTCACTCAATTTGTAATTTTCACGACATTACCTCATGCACGGATTAATTATAATATAGATAATGTATTTTATCTCTAAAAATCGTACGACGTGAAAATAAAACTACAAAAAGCAATAAATTATTTAACATAACCAATAATTTAATATCGAGTGATTGATTGCCATTGATTTACATATAATAAATTAGATACTATAATATATACTTACCGGTGAAAAGACCTGGGCACATCTTCACCCTTGTCGCTTTTCCCACAATGTACGCAATTCTTTTTCATTTTCGACAACGAAAAAGTTACCCGATTACAAATTACTAACTTTAACAACATTAAGCGGTTTTCAATTTTTTACCTGTGTGCAACTTCAAACTCGGCGATTCACGAACGCTCACGACGGCTTCCGATGACGCCCGAAGTGCCCGCTGCGGCCAACATGGCGGCCGTTCATATTGCTTCATAAAATTTGGGGTGGGAGTAGGGTATTCACTATCCAGTTATAATATAGATCAGTGAATTTAGCCACACGCGTTGCCCCCAGCGACGCGTTCCTTTTTATTAATCGCACGCTCGCGATAGTTGCTTCCTACACAATTTACACAATTATTGCGCGTTTTAAGTCCGACAAAGTCCATATTGGCACGCAGTTTAAAAAACAAAAAAATGTATTTAATAATAATTAATATTGTGAAATATTATATTAAGCACCAAGATCCGCTTCGACCAAAAACAGCACTTCTCATTGCTTATGTTATTTTAAATTTTCCTTTTTTTCTAATTTTGTATATAAAACACTTAATTTTTTTAATTGACATTAATTTTTATTAAATATTTTTGTAAGCAGTGAAATTTTACCTTTAATAATTCGTGAAAAAAAAGTGTTATAGATATAATATATATTATAGTTTTTATAAATAAATAAACATACCTTATAATTTAAACTTTAAACTACCAAAAATAATATAATCATATATGAACTTATATGGTCATATAAGATTATTATATATGATCAAATCACAATATTGTATCTTAAAGTATCAGATTGTTCTTGAATTTATCAGTTCAATTGAATCGCGAGGAATGGAGGAATGTCAGTAAGAATTAAGCTCTGATTGTTCGGTTTAACGTTTAATAAAAAAAGGTAACACAACTATTATTACAACTATGCACTCTATTAATTACAGTAATCTGAATCTAAGAAACGGCTAATGCGGAATTCTAGCGCTTGTAATTGGGCGAGCGTCGGGGCAGGCTTAAGCTCGCGGTGCACTCACGTTGCGAAAACGTGTGGTCGCTACGTCACGCGCTCGGGAGCGCGCGCTCGCTTCAAGCGATTTGTCGGCCGCAATATCTGCAGCTTTGTACACAGATAGATGGCATTCGATGGGATCTCTTTCTCGTATTTAAAATTTGACAAACAGTGTTATAAGAACGGTATCAAAATACACGACACTGTCTCGCGCTATGGAGCGGTACAATTTTTGTATCAGTTGTATCGTGGAGTCCACTCTTATAATAAAATAGCATACTTAAAAAATAATACTTGAAAATAACAAATTTCTGAAACTTATTTAAATATATATATATATATATATATTTAATATATATAATATATATATAATATATATAATATATATATATATATATATATAATATATATATGTCTTTATATATAATCTTATATAATTATATATGACCATATAAGCTCTTATCAGGCCAAAATTCATATATGAGCATATAAGATCGCTTTTTATATGAACATATAATGTCTTATATGAACATATAAGAAGCGATCTTATATAAGAATATCTGTTATAATAGATATTTTTTATATGTCCTTACATAATCTTATATAATCATATATGACCATATAAGATCTTATCAGGCCAAAATTTATATATGAATATATAAGATCGCTTCTTATAATATAAGACATTATAAGAGATTTTTTTTTCCCGGATCAAAAACGAATCAATATTTGCCAAATACGCTAAATAAATTTTAAAATATACATAGTGCTTTAATTATTAAAAAAAATTTATATTTAAAAAATCTTATATTTAAAAGTATAATAGAGACGTTGCCATAAGAGACTTATAGAGACGCTGGCGATATAATAGTCAACAATTTTTTCAATGCAGCATTAGTAAGTAAATCTTGCTTGCTAACGCTGCATAATGTCGAAAAAGTGAAAGGGACAATAGACGATGATAATGACGTATCTAACGTAAAATTTAGACATTTCAAACTTTGCATCGCAATATCTCCACTCGTAGGACACGTAGCTAGACAAAGAATAAAAACACTTTTATTACATAATTCAAACCCAAGTTAACAATTGATCGCCCTATTCAGAACTTGATCGGTTCAAATCCGACAACCTAATAGCGTTTTTCTACTGGGAAAACTAGTCCAATACTGGTGCATACTGAGTGCAATTTTATTGCGCCAATATGAAATTCAGTTCACATATTTTCAGTGTTTAATGTTCTACTGACAAAAATTTATCAAATTAAACACAGTAGAACGCACATTATAAACACTGAAAATATGAACTGATTTTCACATTGGAATAATAAAATTGCACTTACAATCAGTGTGCATCAGTGTTGCACTAGTTTTTCCAGTAGAAAACGTTATAAAAAAGTAACTCGTCGGCTCATTAATTATTGTATAGATATGTATACGGTTTGTGTCTCGTTGCGCGTACATACACTTGACGCGAGACACTACCGTGTCCCGTGTCTCTTCATATCGAGCGTCCTTTATATTGTTTTCTTTCTTTTGTTCTTAACTGCTACGTGTGTCTGCGCGCCCGCGGTTTTCTTCCTCAATAATACGCTGATTTTACACTCGGATATTTTTTCTAGTCAATCACATATTTCATTTCTGTTAATTAATAAACTTATTTCTATTTAGTTTGAATGATTAATATCACTATTAATTACTTTGCCCTGCAATTCTGAAGAAACACGTCTTTCGACAAACCTTGACAATTATCGGAAATATCCGTGATAAAACGATAACAAGTATGATAATTGTCAGATGAATGAATCGCGTGCGATGTCCCGGCCTCGACGAACAGGATCGTTGTTTTGATACTGCGTAATTCAATACAGCTATATATTGATTAAGGCATCTGTATCATCTATACGGAACAAATAAGATTTATTTTAACGGTTTATTTACGGTTATATTTTTAATGCTTAACATTATATCTTAATTTGCATTGTTCTCGTGTTAATGAGTTACAATTAAATAAAGAATAAAGATATTATACATATACATTTTCTAGATAAAGATAAAGCGTAAAAGTTCAATTGTAAAATTTGTGCAGCAGTCGATCAAAAAATAAAAAAATTTTACTCTGTGAATTTAATAGAGCAAATTTAATAGAGAGGTTTCTAAAGCTGGGGTGTGTTTTATATCCCACGCGAGTAACGTAGGGTTCATGATCCCATGTTTATGCACGCAACGATGTGCGTAAATACGTACGTATTGACGCAATGTACTCGTAATTTCGCGCAGTTCCCCTAATTTAAAAAAAAAACTTCTAGAATCGCATCTTAATGACAGGTTTCTCGATTTACTTGAAATTTCTCAGTCTATCTATAAACGAAAGAGAGACGTGCATCGCAAATTTTCCGCCTCTAATTTCCTTCTAATTTCCCAATAAACGCGCAATCGAGCGTTCCGGGAACGAGAGGAGCCGAGATCGCGAATGAGCGCACGATAACCCGCGGACACAGCGTCTCGGCGATACGGCGAGGGTTATCGGAGTTACGAGAGTTACGTTGATGAATCATTGGAAAATCTGGAATAATATTCGCAGGAAGTTCGATTCACGTGATACCCATGATGATCGTTAGATGTAGCAAAACACGATCTCCAAGGACGGGAGACGAATACGTCTCCATTCGATTAGTCGAATACATTTGCGAGGATCTTTCCGGAGACGCGTCTCTATTATTCCTATTACTATCCGGACGTAAATAAGCGAGCAATTAATCACGGCTAATTATCCAGTTCCTGAAAGTTGAAATTGTTGAGGCAAGTCGAATATCTTCGAGATATCATTGGATCATAAGCGGAAATGTCTTCGGGATTTCTTTAGTATGCATTTGTTTCTTAGGACTATTTTCTATTAAGACATGCCTCTTGTAAGAGATCAAACTTTAAGAGCGGATTTTCCAACGAGGTGTCGGTGATGATGTCTTCGCAAAGATTTGGAAAAGGCGCGAAAGAAGCAAAGTTCGACAACAGGAAAAGAAAAAGAGAGGATCGCGGAAGATAAAGGCAGAGGATAGTCGACGAGCGATTCACGGGAAGGAATTTGGCGAAGCCGGCGAGACGTATAGGAAAGGATACTGATAGCGTTTTTCATTGGCAGAACTGGTGCGCACTCAGTGCACATTAAGGCCGTTGTACACTGATTTAATCTCTAATATTTAAAGTAAAATGCAAATATTTTGACTGATAAAATACCCAGTACATATTTTACCAAATAGTGCAATAAAGAATATTGAGGATTTCATGATTTAACCCGTTTATATTAAACATACACATTACGTTGATTTGTGTACAACGGCTTTAATGTGCACTGAGTGCGCACCAGTTCTGCCAAAGAAAAACGCTATGAGCGTCGCACGTCGCACGGTCGGTGGCCGGCGCGACGTACGACGCGACGTGGCCGGTTCTCGCGATTTAATCCGCGCCCGTTGTAACCCTCTCCTCCTTGCACGAGCTCGAGGGGTTAATGATAAAAGTAGCCGGCACGAACATCACGCCTTCAGTCGGTCCGCAGCCTCTCTGTTGGCTGTTGCTCCCCCGCCGCTCTCTCAAACGTTTCTCTCGCGAGGAAGAGGAAGCGTGCCTCTCGTTAATATGCCCGTGACGATCTGAGATTTTTTTTTTTCCAAAAACCACGAGTACGCGCGTCAAACGGTGTGAAACCCCGAGACGATAATGTATAAGACAATCGTGTCTTGCGCATTTCTCTGCCTGTTCTACCCGTGCCTTCGACCCTGCGAAGGCGACGCGACTGCGGTTACCAATCGGTAAAGACACCCCTTAGCATCCCATTTCACAAATCCCATTTCAAAGATAACAATTGGCCAGTTCTTTCTCTTTCTGATTCTCGATTATCAATTATGCGTTCGCGGACATCGGACTCTTCTCGCAGATTCTCCGTTATCGCCGACCGACCGAGAATAATACTCGCGATGTTCGTTATTATGCGTTATAATAACCACATCGATTTTTCCTCGCGATAAACTCGACGATATAAGATACCGTTAAGAAACTAGCCATGAAAGTCTAAGAGATCTCTTAAAGACGTTCAAAACAGCACATATTGCAAAAATCTGATTGATACGTTTAATATCTGGTATACTTAAATTATCGTAACCCGAATCTTGGGAAAATCTCGAAGTGGCGTCTGAACATCTTTTATGCTTTGCCGTTTAAATACCAAGAGATAAAAGGAATTTGAGCTTTCTTTGAGTGATTTTGACTCACGCTACAATAATAAACGTCGCATTCTTTACTGACCTATCAAGTAATCATTATCCCCAAGTTATCGTAAAAGAAATTATTCCGGAGTTCCCTCGAAACCAGTATTCGTTGTCCCTCGCGTTCATGTGGTTTAATCGGCTTGTTCTTTTAGGGGATATGTATTTACTGCGCCGAGGAGATTCTTGGCCGGCGAAACCGAGAGCGGCTGTTTGTCGCTGCACAATCTCGAACCGCCGGCGCACGTTATCCTGGAGTTGCTATCTCCAGCGGGTACGGGCGTGGATGACGAGGTACTGACCAGGACGAGTGGCGTCGTCAAAACAGGCAAGTACATTTTTTCCTTCCTCGGATTTTTATCAATCGATGATACCATCCGATATAGTTGGATAGTTTTGTTTCAAATGGTCTCGTGGTATTAGAATCTCGAAACACACATAAAGAAGTAGCGAAACATAAAAAGATACCTATAATGTAAAATTTAAATAGCTCAGTTTTTAGAGTTTTCAAAGATGAGTCGAATTTTCAGGTTGTTTGTCATTTTATAGAGGTCTTTAGCATTTTTTTTATACCCTACGATCCCTGATGGACTTGCACGTTCTCTTATTTCTCAGGTTGTTACCTGAAAACTCTGTTGAGAGTTTCACGGTCAATTTGCGCCTGTGGATAATTGAATATTCGAACGTGACCCGATGTGTTATCGCGCACGCGACGCGATAACGCATAGTCGTCGAAAATACCACGCGGATTCCTATGTTGAATTCAGGGACGTAGCGATGAGATGACAACAGGAAGCGCAGATTCGGATACTTTCAGATGCGATTACCCGAACGAACGGCCGATCTTTAAAAAACGATCGGGAAATTGATAAATTTACATTTGAGCAGGAATTTAACGGAGAATTTACTTTCGCGCGGCGAAAATCCCGGCTACGCCCAATGAATCGCGTCCCGGTCTTTCCTCCTTCTTCCCTCCGCAGCTCGAATCGGACGCTTTAAACAAATCATAAATTGAAATTGTCGCCGCTTCCTGCGGGGGAGCTAAATGAGCCGAGTCTCTCTCCGAAGGGGAAATAAGTAATCGCTCGGGATCAGATGGGAAACCCATCTGCATTGTTAGGCACGGGGTGAACAACAAGTACGGAGCTTAATCAAGGACCGAGTTTATCATATATATATATATATATATATATATATATATATATATATATATATATAT